CAACGCAGTTTAACCGAAACCGAAGCTGACCCACGCGACAGAAATCCGCGCGCGTCTGTGTTTCCTAGCAACAGCAGCGCGCACACATCTGAGCACACCGAAGTCCGGTGTTGGCACGCGAGGTAGGCTATGAAAACATGACGAAACAAAAGTTTCTAAAGAATACACATAATCTTAAAAGTAAAATTGAGTCAGAGTCAAGTGATTGACCGTTTTGCCAAAATGAAGCATAGGCGGTATAGCCGTAGCCTACAGTTTAATGCTCGACAAATAAATCAACTTAGTTTGGACTTGGCTGGGGAACCTTTTTTTCTTTTAGAATATATACATGCTCTTTATTTTATATAGTATATATTAACTCTTTATTGATTTATTGAAATGTTAATTGTAAATTCTTGAAAAATATAAAGGCTAATTATTCATTATTAACATTGTGTAATGTAGAAGAATGCAAATGTGCAAGAAAGTTTTCTCTCCGTTTTCTATTTTCTAAAGTTTTCTATTTTCATACAGTGTTGCCTTCTATGGCACAAAGAAAAAAGAAATTCGTGTAACATGATTTTAAAGCTATTGTTATCCAATTTGTTGGCATTCAAACACCTTAAAATGCACATATGTAGGTCCAAGAAAATGGGCGTCAGTTTGGTTTGAAATGTGGTGGGGACAGAGACGCATTCGGAAGGGCATTTTCAAAAGTGCTGGGTACAATGACGCATTCATTCTTTTTTCTCTTTCGCGCAGGTCATGGTTTGAAAGACGATGTCCTGTAGCTTACTGATTGAAATAAATAAAAATGTATGAGTACTTTATCACTGATGATAAACATTATCGGTTTTGATGAGGGAAAAAAAACTATACGAGTGCGGATTAGAACCCAGAGAAGCAGGGACACGTTTGTGTGCATTTTGAATTGTGATTTCTCTGGAACGAATAGAATCTCTGCAACGGATTGAAGCGCGCGTCCGAGTGAAGACAACGCATTTCAGCGCTAGATCGCCTCTTATTTAACAAATGAATGAAACGAATGCTGCTAGTTAACTGGAGATGTTTTATTTGTATTGGTACATCCGTGACGCGAGATGTTTCAAAAGTGGTGGGGACAATATCGACCCTGGCAAAAAGTGGTGGGGACATGTCCCCCCCGTAAATGACGCCTATGCGAAGAAATCAAAATTTTCTCGGGGGAGCATGCCCCCGAACCCCCCTAAGTTACTCTACCTAGCATGCTGTTTTTGAAACAAACAAATTTAATTTACCTATCGGTAAGCCCCGCCCTCCTTAGTTACGCTTGCTATCTCAGACAAACAATGGGGGACCTGTGCCCCAGTAGAGCTTAATGTCTAGCAACGCCCCTGGGTAGCACCATTAAACTCAGGGGGGTTGATTCATATTTCCTCCATCATGGAAAGGCAGCTTAATTTATCCTAATAATTGATGTTTTATTAACAAGGTTCGGGAGGAACACGTTCTAATGATCAAACAATCAAGTCATTCCAGCCAGCTGTCAGCAATCAGTAATCAACAGGTCCACTTAATCAGCACGAGTAAAGCCTATAAATATACTCAGTCGACTCACCCATATTCCTCGACAGTTTTCAGCATCCCTCCACCACCCCATCTCCTCACACTTGCCTAGTTATCTTCCTAAACAGAGATACGGGGGGAGTACTCTGGGTTCGGGCCCAATTTCCGAGCTCGGAGCCCTCCCCCCGGACAGCACGCCAAATACGCATAACCATCTATTCTCTGACCATTTGTAAGTGTGAACTCGTGAAACAGTGGGGGAGAGCAGAAGATGGATGAGCACCTTGCCAATTGAAAGCTGTCTTCAATCTATTAAGGATGATGTGAAGTTGGATGGCGGGTTGACAGTCCTAAATACGAGTCGACAGGGAGATGAGAAGAGGTCATTATTATTATTTTTAATAAGCATGAACTGAAATCTAAAAGCACAACCCACCATGTGAAAAACAAACAAACAAAACCCCAATAAACCCTAGCATTGCATGGTGTCATTGATTAGGTTTCCCATAGGAATGTGTTAAGACCGTCCTAAATAGAGTGAGGTTCTTATTAAAAAGGGCACCTGGTGAAATGTTGTTCTGGAAGAGGTTATGGCCTGGTCATGTTTCTGCCATTGTGTCAGCTGACCTTCCTTTCCTCCCAAATATGTGTGGGAGGAGAGAGAAAATAATAAATATATTAAATGTATAATAAAAAGTATACTACTACTATTACTAATACGGTCACAGTGGTTCATATTCTGCATTGCAGTGTATAAAGATTGCCTTATAAAGTTTGGTAAATTACACATAGAATGACACAATTATTTTCATGCTCTCTCTGTATATGAAGGTCACATAAAAGTACATTTTTTAAAGAAATTCTCTTTCAGCCCTCACTATATAAGACATATGAAACTTAAGCGGAGTCCCAAGCTGTGGTCAAGAGTTATCCACTACTTTTCCAAAAAGGCTTTTCCACTATAAAACTCAAACACAAAATCAAAACTGACCCTATTTACTTTATAATACATGATCTTATTGTGAATGAGTTACAGTGCATGATGTTCCACTGAAAAAAGGTTGTCTGTGTAAACTTTAGTCAAAATATTTAATCAAAATAGTTTTAAACCACATTTGATCTACAGGTAAATGATGTTGCATCCCCTTTTGACCATCCAAACAAATTCCCAACAGATAGAATCAAGTCCTGTTCTACATTTTGTCTTGTTGAATACCCAATTAAACACAGAAATAATAAACAAGTAAAATGTGGAAATTTTCATTGACTTAGAATGACTGTCTCTATCACTGAAGTAGTGCTAAAAAAATAATTTAACTACAATCGGAGTTATATTAAAAAAATGTCCTGGCTCTTCCAAGCTTTATAATGGCAGTGAATGGCCGTTTCTGTTTTTAAGTCCATAAAAGTGCATCCATCATCATAAAAGTGCATCCATCATCATAAAAGTGCATCTATCCATCATAAAAGTGCTCCACACGGCTCCATATTTATAACTTTATAAAGTAAAATAACTAGCTTCCGGTCAAACGAACATACGGATTCCACTTAAGTCTAAAGTGCAACTTATGCGAGTAATGTGACATTCTGCTGATATTTACGCTACGCCATGACGCACTACGCTACTCCTGACGTCACAAGTTGTGCTTTAGGTGTAAGTGGAATCCGTATGTTTGTTTGGCTGGAAGCTAGTTATTTTACTTTATAAAGTTATAAATATGGATATTTTTCTTACACAAACGCATAGCTTTGCTTCAGAAGGCCTTTATTAACCCCCCAGAGCCGTGTGGAGCACTTTTATGATGGATAGATGCACTTTTATCATGGATAGATGCACTTTTATGGATTTTAAAACAGAAACGGCCATTCACTGCCATTATAAAGCTTGGAAGAGCCAGGAATTTTTTTTTTTAATATAACTTCGATTGTATTCGTCTATAAGAAGAATGTCATATACACCTAGGATGAATTGAGGGTAAGTAATTTTCATTTTTGGGGGAACTATCCCTTTAAGCAAATTATACAGTATAAACTGTCATCTAAATTACAATATGAATGGAAGCCATACAACATTTTATCATACACATTCTACAAAATATAAAAAGACTCTGAATCTTATGTATGATACTGAACTGCCTTTTCACATAAAGCCTACTTGATACACAAATTTTGAAGGCGTCTAAAATATCAACATGATCCAAATTTTGCTGAAAAAACCTCTTGTACACAATCTTACCTTCTGTCGTCTGTTTGATAGTTTATACTTTTTGGCAAGTAAAAGGCCTTTTAGTATAGTTGTAAAAATGTGAAAGATAAAATTTTTTTTAAATCAAATGATATTTCTCAATAATCACTATTCCATTCCACTATGTCCCCCCCTCCTAAATATTAGTCCATGTTTAAAGTGCAATATTCAGAGTGACGCAGTCCCCTTGCAAAGTCAAACCAGCATGACAGAGAACAGATAAGAACATCCACTGAAGCAGCAGAACACAGCGCTGTAAACATCATTTATTCATTCATTCAGCAGGACACTCACTGTGTTCAGGGCAAAACTCCAGCTTTAATAGTCAAGTCAATACATGGACAGACAAATCACACAAAAGACATCAGTAAAGCCCAAAAAAGATTAAAAAGAAAAAAAGAGAAAGGAATAGATGTTAAGACATAAGTCATGTTAAGTCTTAATATTCCCATCAACCTGTTTGTTTGCAATGATTTTTCTTTAAATAATGACACTGAAACTAATGTATAATTTAGTGCAATTCACATAAAACTGTAAAAACTTTAAATATACCACTCTCCTGTCATTTAAAACGACCAAATTATGTATTTATCATAAAAACAGGGCAAAATATACAGTTTAATTGGATTTCTAAATGTTTATACAAAAAAAAAAAAGAGACAAAATAGAGGAGAATATAAAAGCTACAACCCTTTGGCACAAAAAAAAAAGAAAAAAGATATACCAAAAGATGTATACCTGCAGCTCTGACAGAAATATGTTGAACTTAAAAAAGGAAAAGAATATTATGAAAGGGCACCACATATAACCGATGGTCATTACAACTCCCAGATTAGTAGATTACAAAATAATCAGCTCATAATTAGTATCTTTATGTAGATTAAGAGGAATAAATGCTGTTTCAGGTAAAGGCCCAATTTGGAATGATGATGTAAAAATAAAAAAACAGCAAATATGGAGGGATGGTGGCAACCAAGGCATTGGATTTACAAAGATTTTAGTGTGGAAACTCATACTGTTACTCATCTACAAAAATCTCATCTCAGTGTACAAACAAAAAAAACAGCAATCTTATTATGACGAATGTAGTTTTTATAGAAGTTCTCTTATGTGAAGCGCACTGTTAGCACAGGAAAAAAAGAAACCTTGCACTTTATCACCGAGACTGACAGGGTGCCAATTGTCAAATCAGATTCCCTGTCAAACAAAGCTAAACTGTTTTAAAATTCTGACTCAGTCAACCTGATGAAAATATAGCATCTTCGGTCAACGATTCAGGTGTGATTTAGTAGAAAGAACCTGAGATGGAAGGTCAGTCCAAGCATCAGTTAATTTTGACACATAAACTACCCATTTTCAGCTGACAGGATAAATAATAAATCCTGAGAGTAACTGTGAAAACAATATTGACAGTACAAATATGACTTGCTTGCATCAGTGTATCTTTGGCTGATATTACAACAGTAACAGCCCAGTTGTGTGCTACAAACCGTTATATTCATCCACAGCAGGTGATAGTACCTGCATAAATCCTTTATGTAGTATCCAAAATAAGGCTTAATGTTAGGAGTGGTCACTCAGTCCATCAAAGGCATACATCTGCAGCATTTGGCCAGCTTGCTTTGCCTCTCGGTCTCCAGGGTTTTTTCGTCCAGCAGACCATCCATATAGTGACCGTATTCCTCGATGGCATCTTCCACACGGGTGATATAAAGCCAGGTAAAGAGCACTCCAAAAAACTAAAAAAATAAATAAAAAAAAAGCAATACTTTTGTTCAACATATATAAATATAAAATCTTTATGCGGTATTGGAAGGGTTAATTGCATGTATTGCCTAATTCAAGTTCCCCCACTTTGATTGGCCCTTCCGAAACCCTCAACAGATGACCATTTTGTACAATTTGTGCAGCCTGTTTCTAATGGTTGTCTGATGAGCACTCGTTAACTGTCGCCAGAACTGACTGCAAATCTCTTGATAGGACCCTGAGGTTCTTTGAGGTGTCAAGTGGCTCTTTTGGTCTTGGCATAATGGTAACATGTAATTCAATGCTTATTATAGAACAAAAGCTTCTTTCAAACAGTACACTTTTGTACCTTATTTACTCCTAAAGGGTGAATAGTACCTTTTAGGAACATATTCCCTAAATGGAACATATTAGTACCTTTTGAAAGGATACCTTTTTTTCTGAGCGTGCAGCGATAAACAGAGATGTAACTTTTTCCACACACAGAATGGGCCTTTCTGTTCATTGAAGCTGTACAAAACATAACAAAATCTACATTGCAAGTGTAATTTGATCAGTTATATCGGCTTTTATTCATTGACATTGGTGAAATGCCAACCAAATATCTTTTCTCTTATCTTTTTCACAGCACTGTGTTAATTTGCGCACTTCATGCTGCAGCTACACTATTTGTGCAGTAATATAAATCTTGTAATAAACAACTGGGGTGGTTCACAGTGTAGGGAGACTGACTAATGACTTTGAATCAACTGTGAATCACCATTTATGGAAAAAAAACTAATTATAAAAGCTTCTCGGTTTCAACACTTTTCTCATTAAAAAAAAAAAGTCCCGCCGCCTCCTCCCATACACATAAACATACTTGCTCACATGCACACAAGCATAAGACTGAAGAATGTTTAAATGTAAACATTATAATCCAATATGAATGTCACTGCTAAAAAAAAATTCAACAGTATATTCATGTCAACAATACCTGTGCTTATCACAGATAACACTATATCTTCTGGCATCATTTCCTGTGAAACTACAGATAGGATAGGACTGTCTGACCTGATAGAAACTTAGCCCTGTTCTCAGCACCTCTAAGAGTAAAACCTCTAAGAGTCCTTAGAGTAAAGACTGAGATTACTGTTTGTGTGCATGTGTTTTTCTCTGTGTTGGTGGGTTATCGAAGTTGCAGCATTATTGAAATGGCAACATAATGGACTCAAAATGTATGTGATTATGATAATCCACATCTGCGACTGGTGTTTTTCGGTGCATCAAGGCACCTCTTTAAATGGTGGGACACACATTAATAGCTGCACATTAGAGGATGCTTTTGAAAGTGAGACGGATAACCAGACTGCTAATTTTCTAAAACCGGTCCATTAATGGTACTCTTTTGAGAAAAGTTTAAATTCATTTAAACCATGTCTCTCTCACCAGGCAGCCACCTCTTCATCAGTGCGGAAAACATTTCACAAGGGGATATTATGTAAAGAGGCGATTTAATTACACTGAACTAATGAGCACAGATAATGATGAATAAAGACAAGATGAAATATCTCCATTAAGCCAAAACAAACTTTTGAAGAGAAAAATTATTGGGACTTTTTCCTACAGCAAGTTTTATCAAAGTAAATATATGAATATGAATATTAGGGTTGCCAAAATTCAACTTTTTGAGCTTAATGAATTATTTTGCTTTTAATTTAAATGTACTACTACTACAACTACTAATAAAAAAACTACTTAAAAAAATATTAACATGTATTACAACTTTAAATATAGCACAATTACCCAATTAAATCTAATGTCCCACTACTCAATGACTCTTTATCGTCATAGTTTAAGCCAATGAATTATATAAAATGTTCTTATTTATACGTCACAGTAGATGTGTATGCTCTTGTCACCGTTATCTCTAATATCCTATTTGAATCTGAGAAGAACTGACCAGACTAAAAGTATGATATTTGTCTGCCATGATTACAGGCTTAGAATGACCGTTGGATGAAGAGGAGCTCTCGAAGCTAGGTTATGCTGTAATAACTAATAAACATGAATAGGTCTATTTGAACATAAAAACAATAGGATGGGACATTAATAACACTGCGGTGTCATTTTTAAAATGTGAAAATGAAGAATGGTTTTCCAGAAATGCTAAAATGATGGCCTACACCACAGTAGGTTGACAATAAGCACTGTCGTTTTTGAAAAGGAAATAACATTCTCGTGGATGGATACAGAAGAGTTTGAAACATGTTTGTTGTTGTAGGCTGTCCAATTAGTTTTTCTTGTCATTCAGCAAAGAAAGAGAGCAGGATGGCATTTATAAGATTTAATGGGTTTAAAAAAAAAAAAAGATTCCCCACACAACCCCAACACCCTTGTGCGTAAAAAAAACAATTAAAACTGCAGTAATTGCTGTCACAACTTTTATCCCGAACTCTTCAAACACTTTGAAATGTTCTTACAACCAAAGAAAAATGCCATTTTTGTTCTTGGCAAGCTTGCAAGGGATAAGAGCATGTATGTTTTAAGAAAAGTGCATAATTTGTAATATTCAAACTGACTTATGCAGGCAATCTGAACCTTCTTCTCTTACCTGAGGTAGTAGGATGCCCAGAAGAACACCAGCCATGATTGTATAGTTGTCCACGAACCAAATAAAGACTGCATCAGTGCAACCGCGGATGTAGATGACCTCTACATTTTCTAGCCTCTGTGGGCAAAGGTCAGGCCAGAGAAACAGGTCATATTCAAATGTCATCTTTTCATTATTCTATTCTAAGAGTAAAAAAAACGTCCCTCTTCGCATCTCTTATTAACTACCAATATTGCGAAGTAATGGGTGTGTTGAGACATGCGAATGCAATGTATTGAGGGATAATTGGATGCGGTTATAACTAAGGCAGATCATCATTCATCTGTGCATGCTGCATATTCTCACAGCCTGTTAAAATTCAGAGGTGGTTCTCATTGCTCTTCCCAGATGATCTGATTACTGATCAGACCTTTGACCTCTCCAAATGACTGCATTTATACCAGGTGGATCGACACAGAGAACTTTTCAAATATCAGAATAAAATTATAAGCCACTCTAACTTTCTTTTTTGTTCGCAAAAGCAGATCTAACCAAAACATCATCAGACATAGAAAAAGAGTTGATCAGAGAACATACCTGGTTATGCAGGGTCTTGTATCCACACATCGTATTAACAACTTCAGAAGGCTGTAAAACACAAGCACATGCAGTCTTACCATTTTCATAGAAGTAAACTGTAAACTATCTCGCTTAAAAACTAAGATTGCAAACAGCAAAACCTATGGGGGGAAATCTTTTGACATTTTCAAGCTGGATCATAGATATGAAATTACACATTGTGTGTAATGCTAAGAATACTAAGCTTTATAAATGAAGCCGAAATCATTCTGTGAGTAACTGTACACATTCTGATTACATTTAAATGGATGGGTCACCCAAGATTGAATATTCATTTATTAATTATTCACCCTATTGTCATGCTAAATCTGTAAGACTTTGGTTCATCTTTGAAACACCAATGAAGATATTTTTTATGTAATCTGAGAGATTTTAGTTCCTCCATAACTTTCAATGTTCATCATATAAAGCTACTGAGTCTTTTCAAAAGATGTGGATTAAACCACTTGATTAATATCTGTTTCTTTTACAAACTTCTTATGAACTTTGTAAAGAGTCAAAGTTATGGCTGCATAGACTTTCAATGGAGGGACATAAATATCTCAGATTTCATTTAAACATCTTCATTTGTGTTTGTAGAGACATGAGGGTGAGTAAATGACAGAATTTTCATTTTTGGGTAAACTATCCGTTTAAATCAACTCTTTAAATCAGTGCAACATGACCTCATTAAAATGGAAAAGGTTCCTTTATATAGATTTTCCAGACTGCATCAATGTAGTTTGTTTGCCTGATTACAACAGCATAAGCTGATGACAGGACCAACTTACATTTAAAACGACAAGCACATCTGGTGACAACCCAAAAAGATAAACTGATAAGTGGATTGAATTTGATCATCCTTGGAGCAACAAATTCAGCTCAAGGGAATATTATAGGGTTAAATAAAGCTAAACATTCCTTTAAACAATATATGAGTTTTATTAATATAAGGTTCACAAACAAAAAGGCAGATTTTCATTTTGAAACAAAAGTGTATTTGAGATGATATGCAGACACTTGCAACTAAGGCACCTCGAAGAAATTCAGCCGGAAGGGTCTGACGTCATAGGAACCATGCCTTAATATAATAAACTTAAATCACTAAGCAAAAATAGAGCAAATTAGATATTAATGTTGTTGATTCTCTGATATCATTATTCATATTTTAAAAATCTGCATTGTTTGTTCAGTATATATTTGTATTTGCACTGGGATTTTTGTTTTTGGAAAATACATCAGCCAAATTATTCTTACATGGTCCTACTATTTTTTGAGCTGGTTAAGTGGTGTAAGGTTTTCTTACGTTCACCTAAAGGATTATTAGGAACACCATACTAATACTGTGTTTGACCCCCTTTCGCCTTCAGAACTGCCTTAATTCTACGTGGCATTGATTCAACAAGGTGCTGAAAGCATTCTTTAGAAATGTTGGCCCATATTGATAGGATAGTATCTTGCAGTTGATGGAGATTTGTGGGATGCACATCCAGGGCACGAAGCTCCCGTTCCACCACATCCCAAAGATGCTCTATTGGGTTGAGATCTGGTGACTGTGGGGGCCATATTAGTACAGTGAACTCATTGTCATGTTCAAGAAACCAATTTGAAATGATTCGAGCTTTGTGACATGGTGCATTATCCTGCTGGAAGTAGCCATCAGAGGAAGGGTACATGGTGGCCATAAAGGGATGGATATGGTCAGAAACAATGCTCAGGTAGGCCGTGGCATTTAAACGATGCCCAATTGGCACTAAGGGCCCTAAAGTGTGCCAAGAAAACATCCCCCACACCATTACACCACCACCACCAGCCTGCACAGTGGTAACAAGGCATGATGGATCCATGTTCTCATTCTGTTTACGCCAAATTCTGACTCTACCATCTGAATGTCTCAGCAGAAATCGAGACTCATCAGACCAGGCAATATTTTTCCAGTCTTCAACTGTACAATTTTGGTGAGCTCTTGCAAATTGTAGCCTCTTTTTCCTATTTGTAGTGGAGATGAGTGGTACCCGGTGGGGTCTTCTGCTGTTGTAGCCCATCCGCCTCAAGGTTGTGCGTGTTGTGGCTTCACAAATGTTTTGCTGCATACCTCGGTTGTAACGAGTGATTATTTCAGTCAAAGTTGCTCTTCTATCAGCATGAATCAGTCGGCCCATTCTCCTCTGACCTCTAGCATCAACAAGGCATTTTCGCCCACAGGACTGCCGCATACTGGATGTTTTTCCCTTTTCACACCATTCTTTGTAAACCCTAGAAATGGTTGTGCGTGAAAATCCCAGTAACTGAGCAGATTGTGAAATACTCAGACCGGCCCGCCTGGCACCAACAACCATGCCACGCTCAAAATTGCTTAAATCACCTTTCTTTCCCATTCTGACATTCAGTTTGGAGTTCAGGAGATTGTCTTGACCAGGACCACACCCCTAAATGCATTGAAGCAACTGCCATGTGATTGGTTGATTAGATAATTGCATTAATGAGAAATTGAACAGGTGTTCCTAATAATCCTTTAGGTGAGTGTATTGTAATAATCTGGTTAGAAGTAAAGAACAAACAGATCTCCATCAGTCTTAATAAAGTGGGATTAAAGATCACTTAATTGGTATTAAAGGTAATATCATCAGATTCGATTCTGATATTCAATTTCAGACAAAACATTCTGATGTAATCTCCACATATAGAAAGCATTTTAGTGTATTACTTTGTCTTAGACCGAGGTAATGATGAGGTAATGCTTGTCCATAGGTAATCTCCACACAGCTGGATGTTGGCAAACAAACTCTGTGCTTGTTCCAAAACTAATGAAAAATGAATGTCCTTTTGACTGCAAGACCTGTTTTAGTATTGCACTTCAAAGGACCTTTTTTTCAACTGTCCTATCCAACTTCAAAAAATGAGATCTTTTAATATTCAGGTGAATCTAATATCAAGCTGCAGTGATATGTTACTAACATTCTGGCTTATGTTAAGAGTGTTTGAAAAGAAAATAAATGTGCAAGATACAAACTAACAAAAATAGCTGGCATCTTTATTGTAACATGGGGTAACAATATCTTCCTGACTAAAAATCTTGCAGATGCGTCATTCCTGCAATGCAGTATATTTTCATGTCCCCATCATAAGTCACATGATGCACTTTATAAGAAATATTCCACCACCACCAAAAAAAAAAAAAAAGAAAAGAAAAGATTTCTTGAAAAATGCCTATTTTTCCCTATAGAATGAAAGTGAATGGAATCTATTGGTGTTTGGAAACCACAAATCATCAAATTATCTTCTTTTATGTTTCACAGATGGAAAGAAAGCCATACAGGTTTGGAACAACACAGGGTGTGTAAATTATGACAGAATTATCAACATTATTATGTGAACTATCACTTTAACTAACAAAAGTCAGGTCCCTTCCATCAGGAAATGACATCATTTTTGGCACAACAGCAGCAGCACAAACATTCCACCCTAAATGACACTCGTGTAAGCGGACTCTCAATCCCTCATTGAACTATGGCTAACTCTAGCTCTTTATTTCCATCATGTTAGACAGTTTGTTCATGTTATTGCCATTGTGTAAATAATAAAGCTTTCAATCAGTGCTTCATCAGAGCATATTTTTGAAAGTCTGGTACCCTTTTATAGAAATACTTCTTAAAATACAAAACAAGAAAATTCACTTTTAGCAGTTACAGATTTCAAAAGGTACACAAAACGGGAATGACCCAGATAACGCAGGATCATTATGAGCTCAACGTTTCCATAAATGAACAAATGTAAAGCAAAGCAACTGGCTGTTATGGAAACTAGAAACCCTGAGCAGAAAACACCTCATATTCCACATCATTTCAAAAATATGACATGGACAAAGTTCCTTCCTAATTCACTGGATGTAGTGACATTATTTTTGTACCTGTAAAATTGAGCAGAGCTCAAATGGGACAGAACAAACCTAGCTGAGGAATGCTGAAGCACACAAAGTGACAATTTTTTCTTTTGTGTGTTTCATCTTCGCCTTTTATGTGTCCTTTCAGGTAAGCAAACAGTAGCCTCGTGAAAGACTCAATTGCTTTTGGTTTAAACCAGGGCTGGTCTAAATTTAAAAAATGTATGAGTTAACATAAAATACCACAAAATATACTGTAGGATTTTGTTTACCCCAGGATTATATATAAAAAGCTGACATTACTCTAGTCTTCAGTGTCACATGATCCTTCAGAAATCATTCTAATATGCTGATTTGGTGCTAAAGAAAAATGTCTTATTATTATCAATGATTAAAACAGTTACGTATACAATATTTGTGTGAAAACCATGATACATGTTTTTTTTTTTTTCAGAATCCTTTGATGATTTAAGTTCAAAAGAACAGTTTATATTTGAAATTGAAATCTTTTGTAACAATTTAAAATGACAAACTTTTGAAGTGGAAACTGCTTTATGAAAACTGGACTTGATCTGTGTATAAGTTCACACTGCAAGAGGAATGAAAAGATATTCATAGACAAACCTTGTTAATACAGCAGGTGTATGGCACTCCACACGCTAGCGGACCAGGAGCAGAGCAATTATGATACATGTTCACCTCCCAGTCCGTGTACTCGTTTCCCCCACAACATTTGAACTGGAAAAACAAGAGTCAAAGCATTAAAACCACTTATCAATGGAAATATCAGCATAGCTTCAGAGGAAGTGTATTATTTTTGGTAAAGCTGGTTGTTTTCTCATCTAGCACTGCTGAAGATCTGTTTAGGCTATGCTGTGGTAGAACATGGTGGTTCAACAGTCATATACAAGCCTACCGGAAGAATATTTGTACATCGCATTTTTAAAAACAATTGTGCAAATCGTTGAATTTGCTAGCATGCCATCTGCTAAATTGCACCTTGGTTGACAGGGCATGAAACAAGAGAGGTGAATGAATAATATGAGCTGCTTTGTATTAATTTATTGAGACTAAAGCTTTCAGAGAACAAGTATGAATAAATATTAGGCTCCTGTCTTCCCTCACTGAATAGCACAATTCATATTCTAGCACATTAGCTCATTTAAATGACAGTGAATCACATTTGAGGAAATTACTTAAGAAATTGGTTGATTCCCTCAAAAGAAACATCTTCACTGATGTACAAGAATTACAATTATAGAGCATAATTGTGTGATGATATCCAATTGCAAAAGGCAAACAGAAATTAATGCAGCGTGTGATGTCAGTCATAAAACAAATAAATGAGGAATGACCAGGACCCCTCTGGGAATGAAGCCACTCTCCACATCAGCCTGACAGAAAACACTGACTGTGTTCCGATTCACAGGCTCCTGTGCAGGGTTCACTGCTCCTTACAATAATGATAATGGGAGGTCTGCAAAAATCCACTTCACTTGACAAAATTTGGAACGCACTCCAATGTTGTTTAATACAGACAACACTTGAGCCACACAGATTAGCATTTGTTGTTACCTCATTTATGGTCAATGACAATGCCAAGGAGGAAAGACATCAGCAATGATCTTAGAGGAGCAATTGTTTCTGCCCATCTATCTAGGAAGGGTTATAAGGCCTTTTCCAAACAATTTGAAGACCATCATTCTACAGTAAGGAAGATTATTCACAAGTGGAAAACATTCAGACAGTTGCCAGATCTTCCCAGGAGTGAATGTCAAATTCACCCCAAGGTCAGACCGTGCACTGCTCAGAAAAACTGCAAAACACCCAAGAGCTACACCAACAGGCCTCAGTTAACATGTTAAATGTTAAAAGTCATGGCAGTACAATTAAAAAAATACAGGACAAGTATGGCATGTTTGGAAGGGTCGCCAGGAGAAAGCTTCTCTCTAAAAAGAACAAGTCAGCACGGCTTAGGTTTGCAAAGTTGCATTTGAACAAACCTCAAGACTTCTGGAACATTGTCCTTTGCACAGATGAGACCAAACACAGCATATCAGCACAAACACCTTATACCAACTGTCAAGCACGGTGGTGAAGGGGTGATGATTTGGGCTTGTTTTGCAGCCACAGGACCTGGGCAACAATATTCCTCTAGAATGATGTGAGAGACTCATAAAGTCATATAGAAAAGGATTACTTATTTATTTTATTTTATATTTTATTATGCTTCTGTTATTTATGCTAAAGTTGGTTCTATATATATATATATATATATATATATATATATATATATATGAAATTTTGATAAGAGATATTGATCAAAAATATACAAAATACAGCCATGTGAATTTATATCAAATATCTTATTTTAATTCACTGTTCTTGTATTTTATATTACTGTTGTGATGAAAATATGATTTGGTGAATTTATTTAATGTTTCTTCCTAGATAATTTTTTATGTGACCTTATTAAATGTTACAGTAATAGCTTTTTCGTGCAGTTTATAACTTGTGAATAATGTAGAAACTACCACAGAGACAACTTAAGCTCAACAAATAACAGAACTTACTTTTCACTGCTTATTTTAGCCAAAGATTGTGAATGTCATGGTTTTGTCACATCTGCTTTTGTTCTTAGTTCTGTGTGGTGACAGAGCTATGACATTTCCTGTCTGTCTTGTGTTTATGTTAGTCTAGTTTCATGTGAGCGCATGGCTCTTGATGATTCCTGTGCCATGTGCTTTCTGTCTAATTGTTAGCTCCTCCCTTCTCGTTATCTGCTTAAGTATTAACATTCCTCACCTGTTGTCTCGTTACCCTCCTGTGTGTGTTTCCTTTATAGCTTCCTTTGTGTTTTCAGTCCAGTGCTGGTTCGTTTGTCTAAGTTCCTGTTCCTTGTTCCTAGTGTTTTGCCTTGTTAGTATTTGTTCTGGTTTTTCCCCCATGTGGGAGTTTTGTTTGTACTTTGTATTTTGTTTGTTTGGTTAATTAAAAATCTTACCTTTGTTTTACTGCAATTGAGTCCTCGCTTCTGTTTCCTGATTATCCCGTGACAGTGAAGCACTGAGGGGTTGCAAAATTACTGGTTTCTTTCTCTCTCTAATCTAGTGAATTGATATTTCGATGTAGACTTGCTCCCTGTGCTGCTAAACACATTTTCCCTCTAAGATTTGGAATCTCACTCAAGATAAATATTCTGTGAAGTCAAGATCAATACCTGCAGTGTCATGTTGATTCTGGCATACTGTTTGACAGCAGCCTTTGCACACACACAAAAAAAAAAAAATTCAAATAATATAAAAATTCATTCAAACCACATTTGTGAAAAGGACTGAAGGTGGTTTAAACAGAAAATAATCCCATTATCTTTACAATGTACCAAACTAGAGCGAAACTTTTTCCTTTCGACCATCATGTGAGGAATGATTACCTGGAATTGACAGGTTTTAGAGCTGCAGCTTTAGTTTATTTATTCCAAATCAAGTCAAAATATCTAGTAAAATGAAATTGCTGTAATATATTTGTACATAATTAAGCACTGCTAAAACAGCTCTCAGTAATTACTCATATTAAACAGTTTCATGCAGATGCTCCGGGTGAGGTTGTGTATTTGAAGGACTAGAAGACATCCTCATGCACTTGAATGCATCATAGAGCCACTGGGCTCTTTGACAGTGTTTTGCCATAAAATGCCTATGCATTGAATGTTTTGTAGATATACTTGCAAATTACAAGTAGAGCTCTTTGAATGGCCTCCTGCTACAAAGTCTAAATTCCCACTTGGTGGGATTTATTTACTGAAAGTCTTCATATCATTTCTCACACATAAAAGTAAATACGAAGGAATTTCAAAAGCAAATGGTTTGGTCTCAATCTCTTTCTTACCTGTGCACTCAGGAGCAGTTGTACCTAATTTATGGTAATTAAAAACTACTCCTCATAGTCACTGGTCTTTGTTGATTTAACTACTGTATAAAAGGGACATCTGAATTGTCACTATCTGACATCTGAGTTGGATTATAGGGCCCTATCATTTCCACGATGCAGAAAACACAAATTGCGGAATCCAGACATTAAAACAAGATATGCTGTATAAAGCTGAATGCCATGGAATTTGGACATTTTTGGATTAATAAGTCAAAAGTAGTACTGTACACTTAATCAAATTCACAATCAACCCCCCAATTTTTTTGCAAAGGTATTCACTACAAACCAACAAAATAAATGTTCCATTTAACTTTAAGAATTTATGACAGAATTTATTACTAACAAAAAATTACAAAGAAAAAACCTGTTGTGCAGCCTATTTTTGACAAAAAAGCTATTTTTGTTGCAAAAAGGAATATTTATATTTTTAAAAGATTGATTAAATTGTTAGGTTTTATGATAAATTTGAATGAAATCTTAAATTTCTTAAATCAAAAAACATAAAATCCAGAAAATTTTATACAGAATTTAGGACAAAAATACAATGGAATTCGGTCAAAACAACAACACCGATTTCATATGGCCCTATTATTGTTACAATTTTAATAATTATTAATTCAATTGATTATCTATGCCTTATGATAAATCATATTTTATTAAAAGATATTTAATTTATTCATTAGAAATATTAATTAAAACCATTAAAATGGAATCCAGAAAAAATAAAACAAAAAATGCAAAATAAATAAAATGGATTTTATAGGCCCCTAGTTTACCAGCTTTTTTTTTTTTTTTTTGCAACAAATGATTATCAGGAGTATAAGCATTTGCGAATGCAGAGGTCTGGACAGATATTGTTTCATAGGATGAAACTATGTCGACAGACCGAATTCAAAGATGCCTTGAATGCAAATCTTCAAAAGTCAGCATACTAAATTCTGTACCTTTCATGTGCTCCATGATATAAATCTCTTACCGTATTCTGAACAAAGTCCAGGATGTTTTTGAAATCAAGGTCATCATAGTAATTCACCATGCCTCTACGAATGTTTTTGTTGAGAAGTTCCACTGTCTATTGGACAAAGAAAGGTCAGTGTTATAACAGGTAGATGTTGTTTTTGCAACAACATTTCATAATATTCATATGTATGATGTCAAGCCCTTGTTGTTTCTCATCTCTTTTAATCTCGATAAAATAGTAGAATCCTGGGACTGGTACAATTAGGTTCTTTATGAATATGACTGAAATGAAGTTCACAATGATGTTAATTATGTTCTGGCATCAAAAATATTTTCTTAATGATTGCTGAAGTGTCAAGAAGCCAAACAAATTTTCACTTCCAGCTGACAATGAAATCGCACAACCTGTTACTTGGAAATGACAAGGAAGAAACACGTACTTTGAAAAACAAGGCAGGAATTTTACACATTTGTCAAGAACATAATACAACAAACAAATAAGAAAAAAAATCAGTGATAAAAAGGTTTGTACCTGGGTCCTAAAGATCAGAGCAACAATCCCACCAACGAGCTCCAAAATGAGACAGAGAGCGAGCATGTAAAGAAACTGCAAGGCAAGAGTAAACAGTGAAAGAGACACGGGCACATTACTCAGAATCAAATGAAACAACAGTCGCACATCTCAATTTCTGCCCTACTTGTGCTGTACACGCATGGATGGACTCACTGCCCAAGTGACATTTTCAGAAAGCAGAAGGACCAGTGAATACAAATAGCTCAAAACACGATTCAATTCCCATAAGTTTGTTTCATTGCTATTTTGTGCCCCTTTACAACCTTTCTTTCCTCTGTGGAATGCAAAAGATATTTTGAAAAATGTTTTGTCCATCCATACAAATGACAACACTGGATATTGACTTTCTCTGTACAGACAAAAACAAAACATGTTCTTTTGTGTCATACAGATTTGGAATGTCATGAGGGTGAGTAAATAATGACTGGATTTTCCTTTTTGGGTAAACTAACCCTTTAACCTTATAATATTCTTTTTTTTGTTTGCTCCGTTCAAAAAGCATTATTATAAAGAATAGTATATGAAGTGTTTTGTTCAGAAAATCAATATGGTAAACATAAGCGATATGCTGAAGTACAGCGATTGTGATGTAGAGGACACTACTATATATGCAAGTGTCTGATGGATAAATTAAAACTTACCACTTTGAGAAGACACAAGTTGTCTCTGAGAGACGCCAGAACCCCGATGAAGGAAACGATGAACATGACCACACCGAGCACAATGAGGATAATGGCGGGAGCCAGGAACACTCCTTCCAGCGTTTTGTACCGTTGCCTCTCCACCTCTGCATAGATGCCGATGGCCAAAATAAAGCCCCCTATCAACTGAAACAAATCACACGAATCAGATCAGACCATTTGGATTTAAAGCAAAATAAGATTTCAGGTGGGATAATCAACACTATTTTAGTTATGTTACTAGCTTTAAAAGGGAGATGGGTCAAAAGTAACACAAATGAGTCCATGAAATATTTTAGTCAGGGCCTCAAAAAATCTAACAAGGATGGTCATTATTGAACCTAGCAGTATTTTAGTTTTTTTCATATTTGAATGTATTACGGTTAAAACTGTGAGCTCCTGAGTTAATGTATTCTGATCTTGAATCATAATGGCTCCCCTGATGCGCAGAGTGTGATTTCCATCTGGAAATATTCTAAATGATTATCATACTCTACTGATCACAGCCGTAGTTGACTTATTAAAGAATTAAAGCATGTGGTGTTAACCCCAAACTGCATTTTTGTGTCAGACTGAAGAGTAGTAGAAAGTAGATGTAGGAGAAGCAGATGATAGTTGAAGCTGTACAAAAGTGACATAGAACTGCAAATGCACTTCAGTAACCCAGAGAAAAAACCACGAGCTCCAGTGACATGGCTTAATGGCATAATCAAATAATAACCATTATAATGCTGGGCTGGTAAATTGCAGCAAAACCACTACATGCCTGTTAATTCATTGTGTGTGTGTGTGTGTGTGTGTGTGTGTGTGTGTGTGTGTGTGTGTGTGTGTGTGTGTGTGTGTGTGTGTGTGTGTTTGCATATGGGCTTTACAAAAAATGTGTTGTGCTAATGCATTCCTTCTGTCCCTGAACTTCCCTTCTTATTCAACACCACACCAAGATGTAGTCTGTATGGATAAGTAGTAATCTTCTTCCTTAAGTAGAGGCATAATCGGTATGTACCAAGGGCAAAAATCATTGCCAGTGCATTAATAATATTATATTATAAATAGTGTGTAAATCACTAATTGTTCTAAAATGATACTGAACTGTTCAACAGTACAGAGGATCAAATTTCAGAGGGAGGCAGCTATAGGCTATATTGTATGGGGAATGTGAGGGGGTGTAAAGGTAAAACTGGTGAAAATGAATGGACTAATTACAGAGTAAACGTCACCCACTTGGACCACTTTTAGTCTCGTCCAATTGAAATGAACTTGAAACACAAAATGGTCTGCGAGTAATCCGGTTTTTAGTAACAGTCCACTCAGTTTGTTTAAATTAAAGCTCCACCTCCGTGTCTGCCATCATCTTTAGTTTGCAGAGGACTAATGGACTGAAAAGAGAAGATGGCTATTGTTGAAGCAATATAAAAACGCTAACTTAGTATCTTATATGCGCTCCAAAGCTGCATTTTGATCATTTGTATGATCAAAAACTTATTATGAAATATTACTAAGATTATTAGTTATACAAACTGTTTTCTCTTTTAATATATTCTACAAAAGTAATTTATTCCTGTGATGACGAAGCTGAATTCTCATCAGTTTTCAGGAATTTTTGGTCTTCAATGTCACACAATCCTTTATAAATCATTTTAATATACTGATTTGAAGACACCTGTGATGGGATGACTGATGCAAACTCTGAATCAACATGCACTAATGCTAATTTTTTTCAAATATTGTAATCATTATGTCCACAACTAGAAATAATTACTTCAATGAGCTCATTGTTTCTGCCTTAAATTATACATTGTTAGCTAACTGTGTGATTTGTACATTTCTGAAATACATTACTTGGACACAGCCACCTCTGATAACATATGCAAACTGCTAAAGGTCTGTAAATTTTGCCAATAAGCCTGATTTCCAATGAGGGTTGAATAATTTCAATTTCAACTGTACATCCTGGATAAAAGTATTCATTTATTAAAAAAACCCAAAAAATATACTGATCACAAAATTTAAACAGTAGTGTAAGTTAATGAGACTTTGACTTGATTTTAAAAAGAAAAAAACAGCATTGTGGTAAGTTGCTTGGTGATAGTCAAAGGTTGATCGTTTTCAATATGCCATTAACCCAGATGTGCGAACAATAGATGGAATATGAATTTGAACAATGAAGACGCAAAGCACTCTGTCAGAGTAGCCTGGTTAACCGTTATAATTGTTGTACTTTATCCTAACGTTTTCAAAATCTGCACAAGAAATCAAAAATAGTGTTACAACCACAGTTAGAGAAAGTATGAAACTAACGTTATCATGCCACTGATGCTTAGAAATATGTTCATGTCAGTGACTAAATCCTAGTGGGAGATACTGATAGACTGGAAGACAAACTGAAAGAAAAAATGCCTATGTTTAGGTCCCTCATGAGGTTTCAACAGCCTCTTGGGAAACCGTCTGAAAAGTATCAACCAGTTATGAGCTTTGGCTGACTTTAAAAGGACTGAAAGCATTAAGGTTGATGGAGTCCGAGACCACCACCACCTCATTTCAACAGAAACCGGTTCTATCTGGTCATTATAATTCATTTATTTTCATGTAGGCTACCTTTATTCCAAACTACATTGCTGAAACATTTTTATTACTTTAAAGGGGTCATATAATGCCATTTTTGTACAAGCTAGTATGATTCTTTAGGGTCTAAATTAAAAGTTTGTAATATACTTTAATTAAAAATTCTCATTAGTATTGTAAGAAAACACTTATTTTACTTGGTCAAAAACAGCTCTGTTTTCAGCACGCCGTTTCAGTGCATATGACTTTAAATGATAATGAGCTTTGCTCACCCCGCCTCTCTGTTCTGTGTGTACACCGCTTGTAACACAATAACCATAACACGTTGTTCAGTATAAACGTGGGATTATGAATTATATTGAGAACGTCATACATAGAAAACATGCCGTAATGTACCCTGAGTGTAAACCTTAGACGCATTCATTGTGAAGCGTGCAGCTAGCGATTTGCAAAGATTAATATAAATATTAATATAAAGTTTAATAAAACGTTACACTCACTTCAGTTGTTCTAGAGGTTCAGCAGGAACACGAATATCTGGTACCGATCCTTTTTTCAGGAGCAGCTTCTTAGCAAAACCAGCTTTATACTGACCCTCGTTTATAAAGCAGTCTGGTGAGAAATGATTCGCGCAAACATAAAAGCATTGACGTTGCTCGTGGGGAATATTCCCTTCGAAAACAAACACAGCCACTGCGGCTTCAGCGGTTCGGATTAAGGAACATTAAAATGACTGCTGTGTTCGTTATTACACCCAAGAACAGAACACCACAATCGCTTAGACGCCATTCTGCTCATAGACAGTGCTCCAGCATATCAACAATGACCGTGCCGGTCCGCGCAGACTATGATTGACAGCTCCCTCACGAGCGAGGGGGGGTCTGTGTTGAAACGCTCCTGTCAATCAACAATCGTGGGAGGGGCTTCCGAACGTGTGACGTCACACGGTCGAACGGCTCGATTTGAGACGGGAAAACATATAAGGAGATTAAAACAAAAACACCGGATGGATTTGTATCATTATATGATGGTTGTGTACAGGCACTGCCAACACACATTTCAGTACAATCAACTTGTAAAAGTGCATGTACCATTATATGACCCCTTTAAGGTATATGAAAACAAAGATCATCCTGATAGCAACTTACAAAACGTCTTCAACCTTTCTCATGGGGACCCACTGTCCTGCAAAGTTTATTTCCAATTACTTCAGCACACCTGCCGATTTGTTTTCAAGGGATCCTGAACAGCTTGATGAGGTGCTTCAGGTGTGTTAGACAAGGGGCCGTTTACACAACACGTTTTCATCTAAAAAAATAAAACTTTATACTTTTTGGCCTGAAAATGCAATCTTTTGAAAACAAGTTTTTGTTAACGAAACCGTTATCTTCTCCATGTAAACTACAAAAACGTGAATTTGTGAAAACGGTGATGTCATGCGCATGGGTATTACGTGTTTGGTCTATAGGCGTGTAGTGTTTCTTTACAAAGTGACACCGCCAACTATGGCTTGGCATAAATAATACAGTGTTTTTAATAGTTTTTGTATGTTGTCTGTACGCAAAAAAAAAAAAAAAAAAAAAAACATTCAAACACATTTTTAAACATCCAAAACTACTATTGTTTCTGAGATATGGGTACTTTCGTTTGTTACTGTTGTGTTATGTACTACTTTGTACTTTTTGTTTGTGCTGCCTATCTTGACCAGGACTCCCTGGTAGAAGAGATATTGTATCTCAATGGGACCTTCCTGGTAAAAATAAATAAATAAAAAATAAATAAAATAAAATAAACTACTATTGAGCCAATCAGAAAAGTTAGCACCTTCAACCTCTTCAAGTCAAGTAAGTTGTACGCACAAAAAATAAAAGACAGAGACATGAGTGGACATAAATCAACAGAGATGGTAAGAACAAATGTCCGCCCTTGCCTTTGTGAGCAGAATAGCCATCCACACATAAAAATGTACCCTTTGTAGTCTTGTGTAAAGCACATCCACCAGGTTGTGAAAGCCCTGATGAGAGCAGCACAAAGTGTGCGCTAGGTCAGCCAGTACTGTAATACTGCTGCCAATGGGCAACCAAGAGCCTTGGCTGGTGGCATAATGGTCTGAAATAGCGTCCTGTGGGGCCCATTTTTTATGCTGTCAGTGTGATAGGTTCAATATGTGCAGTCCTGCTCTTGACAGAAAGCTATGGGAGAAGCACAATGGTGCAGCCCATAGCATTTCAAACCCCGGGTGCTTTGACACCAGCTCTTTTCACACAATAATCTATTTTAAATACCAATAACAGATGAGAAAAAAAGATAGCAGAATGTCATAGTGCATACGCCATGAGAGTGGCTCAAACTTGAATAATACTACAATGAAAAGCATTATTTGCATATAAAAGAGTATTATCAAAGCATGACACATTAATGTCACAAATGTGAAATGTTTATAAAAGATTATTATATGAGTTTATGAAAACATGACACAAATGGATGACAAAATAATATGATGCAAAAAAGAAATAAAGAACATCAAATGTGGAGAATAGAAACATTTAAGAACAATTAAACTGAACAATAGGAACAAACATTGTATCGTAATTATAACTGGTAACTGAATGTATGCTTTTCATTTTAATCAGATCCGAGTCTGAACTGTTTTCAAATTTAAAACGCCAAATTCCAGCGCTTATGTAACTCTCTAGTTTATTTTTAGGAAGTCACAGTTTGACAATAGTAATTAAGAGTATTAGATAAATTGAGAACTAAAATACAGAAAGACTTGCTTGATGATGTTTGCTTGATAAAGCTTGATAATGTTTTGCATTAAAAGCACTAGATTAGAATATTCACTAATGGCTTTTAAAATGTACAGTACAATTAGCATATGTGTGGTTATGTATCTATAGACAATATATTAAAGGATCAAGCATTCAGGACACATGCAATCTATTTGAATTTTTCAACTGCTTTAAAGAAAAAGGCAATCCAAGGAAACACACACACACACATTCTAGGATAAGGAAAGGTCTCACAACAGACTTCTATCTATAATAATTTTATATTATAATAATAAAAGCTGTTAGTTAGATTAGATAGATTATAATCCTATAAAGCATATCCAGAGAATGTATCCTACTATTCAATTTCTGAACAAATCTGCGCTCCGACTCTTGAATTTTCTGTATAATCCTGGGTTCAAAACAGGCTTGACCGTAAATAAATGTCCCACATAGCAAGCATAGTTCATACTAATGACAACAAAAAGGATACTGCTCATACAGGTGGGAAAGAGTCCTCAAGTGGTAAATTCTTAAAGAACTCAAAATGAACTCAAACCTCAAGCTGAGTGATTATGTGCAAAATAATATGAAATATGAATGATGGCTTGCCTTTAATGGCATTTGACTCCATGGTCACAACGAATTTTTTTTTTTTTTTTTTTTAGTTCACAGCTTTCACAGTCTGACTGCACAGTAGGCTAAACACAAAATGTTGGTCCTCTGATCGTCATAATGCAATCAATAACAGAAGCAAGATAACCACCAACAACCACTAAAATGTGTCTGTTTCTGTTTCTATCTACTTCTATCAAAAGGAAATGCTATTATGGTTTTGTGCCCAGATGAACATATCAGTTTAACAAGAAAGGTCTTAAGATATTTAAAAAGCGTATCATACCTAGGCTACTTTTACCTTAATATTTCCGCTTAGTACTTTCTACAGCGACGAGGTATACACACATATTATATTATAGATAAATCAATTGATAAACACATGCAACGTCGTAAAAAACATTTGATGTTTTTAACAGCAAGTTAGCCGTTAAAAATAGATCAATTAAGAGATCGTTAATTCAGTAACAAACTCTTAATCCTACAGTATCCTACAGTAGGAGGAGGGTGGGGTCAATAGCACTGGAACAGGTTAATGGGCGTCATAACATAATTAAAAATATATAAACATATACCAAATGTTATACTTCTAGCAGATTTCTAAAATTCAACTATATTCTTTTTGCTTTATCTCTGCTCTTTCCGATTTTTTAAACCGTTCTTGACTTGTGCGCATTTGCTGAGTCTCATGAATTTATCACACCGATCTATTACATAGGATAGAGAAAAACAATCAAACTTACCCAGAAAATTGTTGCATATACGATTAACGAGAACTTCAGAAAGATGTACGAGCACCTATCGCAATATCGGACTTCTTTTGACATGTTAAAAAACGTAAAAATGGCACGGAATACGTTCCCGTAAACACTTCCTGGTTGTATCGTCTACCTGAGCGAGCAGAGCACGCGCTCCATTGTCACAAACGCAGACATGAATTACAATATTTTGATTGATGGGTGGGTTGTCCAATGAGAGAGCGGAAGGAGAGTTTATTGTTTTAGAGCTCTGAAATACATTAGACTCTTTAACACTAGGTTAAATATAATTATTGTAATTATATTATAGATTTACACATCGCAGATAGCTACTATATACACTTATACCCACAAAGATACGATACCCTTTATCTAGGCTAAATGGACGATAAAAACATTTTTTCTTTTTTTCTTTTTTTTTCACGATAGGCTAAATCTCAACAGACTGCGCCAGTAAAATTACTTGCAGAAATTCCCATGAAAAGTATTTTTTATAATTCGCACACTTAATGAAAATGTCAGATCTGCGAAAACCATCCTGAATAGCTTTGGTGATTCGAAGTTTCCAAATAATGTAGGCTACACTATTCACTATCCACATCCTCCTCCACCTGCTGCCCAGAAACCTGTCTCCTCAGACAATGAACAATATCACCTCACACAACTGGAGAAATACGGGGTGCAACGTCTCAGCAGAACAACCTCTCTCACACATGCTCTTAAACTGTCTGTGACATAGATATTTCCATTAGTGTTCGCTGCAGGGGAGTTGCAATTATTAATGAAGCAAGCTGTCCATTGTTATCAACACGTCAATTGCATGCCAATTATATTTAGGTATTGATTTTGCCAGATTTTAGGAGAAGAAGCGCAAAGTTCTGTGCGTCACAAAGCGCGTTGGCAAAAAATGTGTATCAATCAACGTCACTCCATCTGAACCGACACACCTCCAACACTTGTGGCACACACACATTCCTTCAGTTTTCCAGTGCTCGATCGCTGCGGGCACAATAACGCACTTCAGATGGCAGTTTGGACATGAGGCGGTACGAGGCGCACTGACCGCGCACTGTTTGTAAAATGAACTGCTGCAAATGTCCAAAATACACAGGTTTACCATGTCGTATAGCTACAGAAGAGTGAGTCACTCACTGGAATAAGCATACTGACTGATTTATGCCCTGTGACTACGGACAACTACAATGGATATCACTGTGGACCCCCTTTCAACATCTGTTCTTTACGACGAGGAAGATGGAAACGAAACCTCCACCAATCTGTTCGAGCAGCCGGACTGGCAGGTGGCACTATGGGCGATTGCATACTCTTTGATCGTAATTGTGTCCATCATTGGCAATGTCACTGTTATTTGGATAATTCTGGCACATAAACGCATGAGGACAGTGACCAACTACTTCATTGTAAACCTCGCCTTTTCTGATGCATCTATGGCAACTTTTAACACTGTCTTCAATTTCGTGTACGCTTTGCACAATGACTGGTATTTCGGTTTAGGATACTGTAAATTTCAAAACTTCTTCCCAATAACAGCAATGTTCTCAAGCATTTATTCAATGGCGGCTATTGCTGTTGACAGGTAAGCAATATCTATCTATCTATCTATCTATCTATCTATCTATCTATCTATCTATCTATCTATCTATCTATCTATCTATCTATCTATCTATCTATCTATCTATCTATCTATCTATCTATCTATCTCATCATCAAATCTATATGGTGCTCTCAGTGATTATCAGTAAACCTTAACATGATGTTCCCATGGATTATGATAATAATTAATCACTATCCTATTGAGATACCATGCCATAAACCATGTCATAAAACAGTTACAGCCTGCAAGTTCATGAAAGCCTAATTGTAGCTGTAATATAACACAGCACATGAACTAAGTTTACCCTTCAGATGGCAGCTGGTTTTATGTGTTCTTTTTTCTTTTTTTTTCTGGTCATAAATGGTTAAGAGCAGGTCCAAGTTGATGTAAATTCTGGATGATGGATCAGATGGTCTGACATCCACCTAAACCTTGGTTAGAGCTATTTATCAACCACATTTTTAGCTTTTGCCACTGTGCTTAGAAATAGCTCTAAATGTATCAAGAGTAGGCGATATATCGCTTTGATTTGATGTGCTCCATCACTAATCCACCACAAACGGGCAAAAGCAGTTAATAATTACTATTAAAAGAGATGAATATTCATTTTCATGAAGTGATTAAAAGAACCAACACTGCAGGATCACTTTCCATATTGTGTTCTGAGTGACTAACAAGTAGATGATGATAGTAATTAAGCACCCACATAACGCACCAAAAACATTGAATGTTCATATAAAGGGAGAGTCAAAAGAGAGTCAGTGGTTTTGCATTTAAAGGTAACCTATAGGCTACCGTTCACTTTCAATAAGATGGTGTTGTCTGAAATCCACAGATATATGGCTATAATCCATCCCCTGACGCCCAGGCTCTCCTCCACTACTACTAAAGTTCTGATCGGGATCATCTGGACTGTGGCTTTTTCACTGGCCTTCCCTCAGTGTTATTACGCCAGCACCAAGTTCTACTTCCCTCGGACTGTCTGTATGGTGGAATGGCCTGATGATTATGGAGGGAAACATCAGCTCTCGTAAGAAAACTAGACAAAAATGACTAGCATCGTTCAATTTTTACTCACAAGAAAAAAATTGTTAATACATTTCATTTGATGATCCAATGATGCCTATGATAGCTCCATTTTCTTGATTTATATAATTTTTTTTTATTTTTTTTATTACAATATCATGTTTTTTTGTGGCACAGATTTGATTTATGAAGTGATGCTTGATCTCCCTAGATATCAGATTGCTGTGATTATCCTGATCTACTTGCTCCCTCTGCTGGTGATGTTGGTGACCTACAGCCTGGTGGGACAGAGGCTGTGGGGCAGTGAGATCCCTGGAGAAGCATCAGACCACTACCAGAACCAGATGCAGGCGAAACGGAAGGTCAACGATGATAGTATTTACTCATATAACTTTGTTAATGATATTTATTCCAGTTACTCTGCAAAGTCTCCTAACTAACCTACTCACAATCACATACACAGGGTGTGACATAATGTGGCAAAATACATTTCTGGGCTTTAAGACAGTATGGATATGATGACTCGACGGCAAATGCTAGACTAGTACACTCTTCTCCGCTCCTCAAATACATAAAACATTAGATTTTATATATAGTGGTTTTTGGGTAAAGAAAACTCTGTACTTATTCAAAGATCCAGTTCAGTATTTACCTTTGCAAACAAGCAGAGACGGTCCAAACTGCGTGCGGCACTTCATACACGATAGAGGCGGGTGGAGTTATGAGGTTTGACCGACAGTTTGAGGATCCAATGTAGTTACGAGGTTAGTCACAAGCTCTTTTCAATACCTTTCATTGGTCAGATATTTGCAAAAGCCACAGACAGACGTAAAGGATGACAATAGGCTATGTGCACAAGCGTAATTTCGAACTTCCGCTATTGTCAGAAGTCGGCATGTCAGTTTCCGGTTTACGGCTGTTCATCCGCAACCGCTATAAACGAACAAGATGAGTGCTGCTGTTGTACGAAAAAAAGAGTTGTTAAACACATCTAAGTTTCTAAGAACTGTAGGTGGATCCATCATCTAACGCCCGTTTCACACACCGTTTGCAGTGCGCGGTGCAGGAGCAACGCGCGCTATAGTGCAGTTTCACATATGATGCGTTTGCAGTGAATAACTGATCCGCGGCTGTACCACAAACACATACTTACTTTTTTTTCTTTTTTCGCGTCGCCCAAAATGTCTATTTTGTGCAGCCACTGCGCACGAAGGTTGGTGTTTTTCGGGAAGCGTTGGAAGCTCAAATGGCTGTTAGCGACTTGAAGCAGAGCAAAGTGGCACACAGCAGTGCTCCTAACGCACCATGTTAACAGGTTAGGGCTTTCACTTTTCACACCGTTTCAGATGCGGCACGTATAACAGCAGTGCAGCGATCGTTTCTGCCCCGAATTTATTTCTGCTGTGTTGCATTAAAGTGACACTGCATGTTTCGTGGTCAAAATGCACAAAGATTGACCTGAAAATGTAGTAATTTCACCATAAATGCGTTTCATTAAATAAAATGTAGTAATCTCACCATAAATGCATTTAATATACCGGTACTACTATTTTTCACAGTCATCTGAAGACTGTGAAGACCGGGGTAAATCAAGGAAAACTACAATTAAGGCGACATAATGAACAACACTCGTCTCATTCGTGGAGGTGGAAAAACAAGTTCTTTGTGACATGCAAGATCTGTTGTAGGCTATTACAATTTAAATGCAAAAGAAAAGGCATGTGAGTCGGCTGTTTTTGCCCATTTTAAGTTTTAATTTAAAATATTTGCCATTTTAATATAGTAAATTTGACCACTTGCTTGAGCAACTTAATATAAGTAATGCATGGAATAATGGCCCTAACTTGCGTTGTTTAAATTGTGTTTATACGTGCATACGTCCATTAAAGAGTGTGTACAAAGAGAATCGCAATGCTGACAACTTTTTTTGAAATAAAAGTTGCAGCACAACTTCTGGATTTTAAATAAAAATAGTAAGTATGTGTTTGTGGTACAGCCGCGGATCAGTTATTCACTGCAAACGCATCATATGTGAAACTGCACTATAGCGCGCGTTGCTCCTGCACCGCGCACTGCAAACGGTGTGTGAAACGGGCGTTAGATGATGGATCCCCCTACAGTTCTTAGAAACTTAGATGTGTTTAACAACTCTTTTTTTCGTACAACAGCAGCACTCATCTTGTTCGTTTATAGCGGATGCGGATGAACAGCCGTAAACCGGAAACTGACATGCCGACTTCTGACAATAGCGGAAGTTCGAAATTACGCGTGTGCACATAGCCCATAGTATAATCTATGACAAATATGATGAAATATGGGTATACAAGCCTCTGCCTAACAGGAACAATATTATAAATGTTATCAATTTCTAAAGTAATTGTCGTACCAAGTTTTAGCATTATAGAGAAATATTAACCTTTGTGCGTCAATTAAAAAAAAATTACTCAGGTCCTTAGAGGGCAAAAATGTCAATGTCAAAAACTGTCATAAAATCGTTGGAGCACAGACTTAAGTTTGGTCTCATGTTAAAGAAGACCCTTGGCTGATTTTAAAAAAAGTTAAAAACAAAAGTAAAAAAAAAACTGAAACAAAAGTTATAGAGGTTTACTTTTATGAAAATTATTTATGAACGTTATTTTATATAAAATATATAATTAATAAAAACATGGCTATCAAAGCCATAAATCTATAAGTTCTGAAAACTCAAAAAAATGACCTTTAAGAAAGATTTGGTCGCAGTACCAAATTTTCCCCATCAGATGCCAGCAAAGTTCCACTGGTACACACAGTGGTTGGATTTGTGATTTGCAGTACAGCAGAGGCGGCGCCAGGGGGGGTCTTGGGGGGTCTCAAGACCCTCCCAAAAAATGCTTTGACCCCCCATTTGACCCCCCACCCCCTTCCTGATTAAAAAAATATATATCCGGGATAAATATTTAAAAATGTTTATCTTCAAACTACGCAGAACAATAATAATTAATAATTTATTCGACGTACAAAATATATAAACATAAGAATCACGTTCCCTCTAAGCTGCGCGCGTGCGCGGTCGTGCACTTCTGATGCCGCGGCCGCGCAGAAAAGAATAATATGCCACGCAGAGGACTGACGCGAAATGTGTGGGGAAATCCATTTGATTGTATGTGAGAAATAATTGCAGTGCTCAAACTGGTGAGTGCAGTTAACAGGTTTCAAAGAAAAAGAATGATGTGAGCGCGTGTGATTGGCAGTGAGTCGTGTGTGCGGACCAAATAGCTCAATACGAGAGGCGACGAGAAACGCAAGACATGTGAAATAAAATCACAATATCATGTTTTAAAGAAGAGTGGTTTGATTAAAGTGGTGGAAATAACGGATGATGGACACAGAACGGTAACAATTACAGACACCCACCCGCGTGCAAACTCAAAATACATCATTAGTTTACATAGATTTAAATAGTTTCAGGCATGGTTAGATTAGGCTACTATAAAAGAGTTCACATATTGACTTTTCTTGAAAATATTTAGCTATTAGATATAGCTATTTACAGTAAATGCTTCAGTTTTTTTTCATATTATAATAATATTATATGAAAACAAATTGAAGCATTTAAACTATCACTTCAAATACTTCAATTCATTTTTTTTATATTATATTATATTGGGCATATATTGTATTATATTATAAGCCTAAATAAATAATCTCACAAGGGTATTGTTTAGGGCTCATTGCCATTAAAAAGTTTGAAACCCCCTGCTAAAGAAAATATAGGCTAGGAAATTCATAAGCTATAAACAATCATTTAACTTTGATGGTTTAATGCTGCCTGTACAATTAATTGACTTTACAAAAACACTTTATGGTTTTCCTAAACCATCTCAGTGTAACAGCTTAATTTTCTTTTATAATATATTATATTATTGTAAAGAATTGAACTGTCCTGCAGAAGATTTTGTAAATAATTTTTCATAGGATTTCTTAGTAAAGACTGGAAACAGAGGACACCGAGGAATTGGAGGATGAGGAGGATACTATTTTGTAAATATGTTTTCTGTCATGGGTGTGGCTATGGCAATTAAAGTTCGAGCATATTGTTTGCAAACTGCAATTGATTAATTAATTAAAAACAAAAAACCGTCGGTGTGTGAATGGGTGAATGTGAGGCAATATGTAAAGCGCTTTGGTGGCCATTGGGTCTGTGAAAGCGCTATATAAATGCAGTTCATTTACCATTTACCATTTGTTAAGTAGCAGCAATATGCAGTTATTAGCCGTGTCCACTGTATTTTTTGTTGGTTTTCATGAGACCACCCTTGAAATGACCAGGACCCCCCATTGCCCCCCCAATCAAAATTGTCTGGAGCCGCCACTGCAGTACAGTAGAGTTTTTCTCTCTCAAATATTACACGCACACACACACAAAACATTTGTATTATACACATGCAAACCACACTCTAACATCCATACCAACATTTACACCCACACAATTATAGCTGCATAATTTTTTCCAGTTGGCTCATGCAGAAGCAGAAAACAGGAATAAAGCGAGTATTTGCTTTATTGGCCAACTGTGTAACTATTCTGTGTATCTATAGAGTAAAATAGATTTATTAAAGGAAATGGGGGTGAAATAGTAAAATTCCAATAAAAATACACACTTGTGCCAAAATTTATGCAGTTGGCATTAACGCAGGCAAAAAGATAATAAAAAAAAACTGAAAAAGACAAAACTGTTCATCAGGACGCACAAGGGATGATAATTAAATAAAATTGTAATTGCAATTGTAATTGTAATATATTTACAATTCTCCTGTTTCTAAACCCTAGATAGATATACATTTTATTTTAAGTTAACATTTTTCCTATTTTAAAGTTTATGTTTTTAATTTCAGTTTTATTTAACTGTAATTACCGTATACATCTAAAAAAAAAACGATATTATCATGAATGAATGTAGTTAAATTCCACAAAGACCCAAAGAATCAATGTTAAAACCTCTACTGGGGACATAAATCTTTTCTTCTGGCAGAACAGGACATGCGCTTTTTCACTTATTTCACATTTTTCTTTTTTCAGCCTCTACAGTGATGGCAGCAGCTGTTTATGGTTTTCGATTATAGTTCTTTGTGTAGAAAGCAAAAAAAGATTCATGCCATTTTTGCAATTTAATAAAGGTTGTGAAGATGATGATAGTGGTGGTGACAACCTTTGCAATATGTTGGCTCCCCTACCACATCTACTTCATTCTGGGAAGCTTCAACAGGGACATATACAAGCAGCACTACATCCAGCAGGTCTATTTGGCCATCTTCTGGTTGGCCATGAGTTCCACTATGTACAACCCCATCATCTACTGCTGTCTAAACCAAAGGTAAATGTACATTACATCTAATGTAAGACAAAGAAATTTAAATTAACACATTATTGAAGATATTTAGGACAGTGTTTGCAGTTAGGACTAGTCTTGGTGTGGCAACGATGATCCCTAGAGATTTACTGCAATACTATCATCAATATTTACTCTTTGTATTTACTCAATAATAACCTTGTCCTTATTTAATGCACAAGAAGTTTGCATCATGCTGTCTTTCTGTAGATTCCGCTCAGGTTTCCGCAAAGCGTTCCAGTGGTGCCCCTTTATCAAGATTTCTGAGGAGGACAACATGGAACTGCAGCACATGAGGACCTTCCACATGAGACGCAGTTATCGCACCGAGACCACCAGCATGGTGGTCCGAAATCATGCCAGTGAACCAGAAGACAACACATCCAAACTAATCAAAGCTTGAGTCGACCATATTTCAGTGATGGGTAAACAGAGAGGGAAAAACACTATTGTTGGCTATTCTTAAAATCAAGCACGCCCACACTTTGCACTTAATACCTCACACTGTGCTCTATGGTGGATTCAGTGGGCTTTACAAGCGGAGAATTCCTCTATTCCTATGGGTATGGCATAAGCACCAAGCCTTATTTGTTTCTGTGTTGCTGCTTAAAGTACTAGTCCTACATATAGATCAGTGTGTTCTGTATATACTGTACACACTACTGTTCAAAAGTTTGTGGTTAGTAAGATTAAAGAAATGAATACTTTAATTCAGAAACGATGCAGTAAAAGTAACAATACAGATATAAAATGTTACAAAAGAATCCATAAAATGTATCCTGGTTTCCATAAAAATGACAAGCAGCACAACTGATGTCAACATTGAAATGTTTCTTGAGCAGCAAATCAGCATGTTAAAATGAATTCTATAGGATCATGTGCCAGTAATGATGCTAAAAATTCTGCGTAGCCCTCATAGGAACACATTTAATTTGAATATATATTAAAATAGAAAACAGTTATTTTAAATTGTAATAATATTTCACCAAATTACCATTTTATTGTATTTTGATCAAACAAATGCAGTCTTGATTTTTATCAAAAACTTGGTTTCTCTAAAAATATTACAGACCCAAAACTTTTGAACGGCAGTGTACTTGTTGTTTTATACAAACCTCTATAGAAACATTAATGTTTTAGACTTTACATATTGGTTGAATGTCAAGTGGTGCCTGTAAAATCAACAAAACAGAAAATCAACATTAAATTGGTCAGTGCATCTGTACCAGGTCAAGGGTATGGATTGCTTGAGATATACCGTCAAGTGTAAACAGGATGATGACTGTTGTCTTAAATTGACATGGTGGAAAAAGAGAGACAAAATGAGGAGGGAAAGATGTGTTGCATATATATATATATAGTGGTTGAAGACATTAAAACACATGAAACCAAACAGACATTTCCACGTTGTAATTGTACTACTGTACATATAAAGCACACATTTCAGTTGTACTCAATGTTTCAGCATCTATAATCTTTAATATAGCCTAAATCTGCATGTACATCCATACATTTGACTGATTAAAGACAGTTTGCCTGTCATTTTATTTCAATGCCAATGATATGTATTTAGTTTTCTTTCTGGTACAGCATTCAACAAATTCCAAATCTATACATAGATTTGTAATTAAGCTGTATGTTTTACATATAAAAATAATTTTGTGTTTGTAATGTTGTCACAAACAGTATAATGGCAGTGGTAATATAGAATTTATATTTTTTTGTTGATTTTGTTGGTAAAATCTCTGTTTGTTAGTTTTTCTTTTGTATGATTGTCTAAGATCTGTTTAAATGTATGATTGTTCTGTGTTGAAATTGAAGTAAAGTAATCTGACTTGAAGTTCTTCCTTGCAGCTTCCAATTGAAGAAGGCTCACATTTGGCTCCCTTAGATATAGTTAAATCTTTTATTATTATTATTTATGATTGGTTGTCAGTAGCCCAAGTGAAAATTAAAAGAATACTGTAAGAAATTCCATAAAGGGAATATTTATTAGCCTGTGTGATTGGAAAATATCTACAATATTTAACAATTTTGTTCATGTGCTTTTTACGCATCACCTGGCAAATGAATCGTCAGTACATTCATTCAAGAAATATAGCCTCTCTCTCGCTCTCTCTCTTTATATATATATATTTCAGGATATTTTTTTTTATTGCACATAAAATGATCACACAGGATGTAAATACTGAACAAACTAATGCTACATTGTTTGGGCAACCAAGAAGGAAACCACAGAACACAATTTCAGTTGATTAAAATATTTTTATGGTTTTCTCCTATAGGTTTATCCAGGAACATCTATTTATATAGTGCAACTATGAAATAGTACAAAATCAGTGAATGCTAGACCTTAGTTACCAAATAAGGCATGCATTCATCAGAAGATTTCTGAGCCACTACACAGATTCACTCACATGAGAACTACACAGGATCACTCACAAATAACCAGCCAGAGCACACCGAGGGACATTTACTGAATCAGTACAGATAATACGCATATCTGCACACACACACAGCAAAAATCTGACAAAAGCAATACGCATGATACAATCTGCTAAAGTCTTCGAGTATGAGGGGATAAGACTATTTCAGAAGGGGTGGATCTGCAAAGGCAATAGGTTTTCTGTCGTTCATTTGTATGGCGACAAGTATAAGGGGCTTGAATTATGCAGGAAGGCAGCTGTGACTGCGAGACTGAACTTGTACGTCTTCTTCACTTCAGCCATGACAATACCAATGTGGAGCAAACGTTTCTCAAATGTTTTGCAATATTTACAACACAAAAAATTGCCACAGACAAATGACAGTACGCAGAGGTTTGGAATTAGCTTGGCATCTTCTCAAAAAAGGACCTTTCTTTCCTTTAGGTATCCATTCCTGTTGCGTCTTCCATCAACTATAAAAATAAAATAAATAATATCTTCATATACTTGGTCAAATATCTTAACTTTAATGTTTGCAACTTTAATGTATACATTTCTTCCCTTTTTCCAATATACATCCATAAATACTTTAACCACAGTTTAACATCTTAAAGAACATCTTTATATAGTTTGGGTGGACACAGATAGATCAACCCCTAACAACACACATAGACATACACAGAGAAAAGGCTGACAGGAACATGTAGGCCTAGGAGTGAATTACAAAGCAAAGGGGTCACAGCTCTGGGAATGAGTAAAAGGATGTGCCGGATTGTGGTGAATGAGAGCCGAGTCACAGCTGCGAGTGGAAATGTATATGCTCCGGGAGAGCTAGAGAGTGGATTGAGGACTTGTTCGATGAAGGGTTCAGCTCTTTTGTTCTTGCTGGCGCAGGCGGCACCCAACAGCAGTGATCAAGGCGGCACCTTTCCCGCTTCCGTCTTCTGAGAGAAGGAAGGTGACGTTGCACTTGGGGGCGAGCTCCTTCACAGTTTGATGCATTATCCGTGAAAAACTGAAGAGAAGGAGAGGATAGGTCAGATTTCACAAAGAATGTGTACTGTATGGAATCATAAATACATCCTTTCTGCAGGCACTTACTGTGGATGGAGCTTGTACAGGGTGCCATCCACCCCAACTGTGATGTCCAGATGGTCCAGGCTACGGTTCTCCCGGATTTTGTCTACAACAGCAGCCATTCCCGCTCCACAGAGCTGAGCTGCTCGGCGGGAAACGGCTCCGCACACTTCTTTGACGATAATACTGTCATCGCATGTGCTGTCCAAGCCCAGATGCTGCAGAATGGACCTCACTTGCAGTAGCGCCAAACGGTCACTAGAGGGAAGAAACAGCATGTTAAACCAATCTGAAGTAAACAATATAAAAATGTAGGCCTATATAAACAGCATTCCAGTATGTCTGGTTTTCACGATGAAACGTGGCAAAATAATCGAAGAAAATGCTGTAGTACCTCTCAATTTGGGAAAGGAACTTTGTTTCGAAGATACCCCTGGTCTTCAGGGTCTCAGAGATCTGTCCTCTGAAGAGGAAGCCACGCTTTGTCAAGTCAATCAAGATGTTCCGCACAATCTCACCCAGGTACATGCCACTGCACATCTTCTCATATCTAAAAGTGAAAAAACAAACTTAATATTTAAAATATTTTTTTAATGATTTTGAAAGAAGTTTCTAATGTTCACCGAAGCTGCATTTATTTGCTAAAACAATACAGAAATATTATAAACACTAATTTTGTGAAAGTATTTTAAAGTTCAATTTAATCCTGTGATGAATTTTCAGCATCATTACTCCAGTCATTACTCCTTTCAGAAATCATTCTAATATGCTGATTTGGGAACATTTATTATTATCAAGGTTGTTGTTTTTTGTGTGCAAACCATGATACATTTTTTTTTAATTCTTTGATGAATAGAAAGTTCAAAAGAACAGTATTTATTTGAAATGGAAATCTGTTTTAACTGTCACTTTTACGGTCACTTCTTCTTTTCAGGATTTTATGGATTTATGGCTAATCTCAAATTCCAACTCTCTTATGTGCACTAACACTGTGCATTTACATTCTTAAATTACAGTAGCAATACAAACAGTAAGCACCTCATTTCACCAATTCTTCAAGACTAGCTTTCTGACATATTTGCACTCGCTACATTTGCATCCATTTATTTTCGAAACTTTTTTTATCCCCCTCACACTCGACTGGGTAAAACTGCTCACTTTTGTTTGCCGGCATTGAGGGAGAGATCATCCACAGCATTATCATACTGAGTCCTGATGTCATCCAGGCAGCCATTATCTCCAAATCCTCCCCACTCCATGTTCACACACATCCTGCCCTCCAATCCATCGACCGTCTCAATGTTTTGCATTTCCTCCATGTAGCAGGCATTGCTGCCCGTTCCTAAAATCACAAATGAAAATATCTTAGCATCCTCTGCTGAGTCAAATCTGTTTAAAAGACTCAAAAATTAATTAATTTTATTAATTGTTGTCACATTGTACTAGAGTGTGTAATACATAGTATAATACTGAATTTACCTGCGATTAGCCCAACCTCACAAGTGGGTTCCTCATATGCACAGGTCATCATTGTACCCACTGTGTCATTCACTACGGCTACAACGTCCAAATCAAACTCCTGTGCACAGTATAGCATACAAAAAAAATCATCACATACACACATCTGTAATACACAGTCAAAGTAACAAGTATCAAATCTAGATTTAAAAACGAATTAATCCATCAAATCATGTCTCGTCTTCTCACTTTTGTAACAGTACTGTAACTCACCTCTCTCCTCTTGATCCCATCTCTCAGGAGGCTGACAACATCTTCACCTTCACAGTCTGTGGCTTTAAAGCCCTTTGTCCAATTTACCAGAATTCCCTGTATCCGTCAAAGCATGAAAAAGTCATCAGGATTTCATTCAATAGATGAGCAAAGAAAGTTTAAAGAAAAGGCAAACAGGCAGCTCACCGCATCCAGACTAGTTTGCCTGCAGGGGAAGGAAAAGGTAAATCCTAGAGGCAGACGGGCGTTCTTCATCCCCATATAATCCAGGAAGTCAGATATGCAGTACACAATGTGATCAAAGAGCTGCAGGTGACAATTAAAATCATTTAGGGTTGCAATATTGTCTCTATTTAAAGATGCAAATTATAGTCATTAACTATTAAAAACACACTTTTCCCATCTGTGTGTCATACTGTACAGAGCACACACTGTACATACACTACTGTTTAAAAGTTTGGGGTCAGTAGAATTATGAAAAATGTATTTTTTTTAAAGAAGTTTCTCATGCTCACCAAGGCTGCATTTATTTGAACAAAAATACAGAAAAATACTGTAATATTGTAAAAAAAAAAAATTTTTAAATAGAATTTTCTGTATCAATGTTAAGTCTTTGCTGTCATTTTGTTCAATTTAATGCATCCTAGCTGAATAAAGGTATTCATTTCTTTCTAAATAAAAAAATATCTTACTGACCCCACTTTTGAACGATAGCATATGCTATATATATATATATATATATTTTTTTTTTATATCAAGTCTTTTAACTAAATATGCCATTGTGACTACACACCTCCTCTCCGGTTCCTTGCATTACTTCTATGGGAATGGCGTATATTTTATTATGCATCTCCACAGTTCGTCTCTTGCCACTGCGAATCTTGACCAAAAGCACTCTGAAGTTTGTACCTCCAAGATCCAGAGCCAAAAAGTCTCCATTTTCTGGATAAAAGAAAAAATACAGAAATAAGGAGAAGTCATGAATCCTGCTGCAAACAAAAAATTATTAAAATAATGATGGAAGACGAAAGATGGATAAGAATGAGAGGAATAAAACAGAAGAAAGACAGTTCCTGTGCCATCCTTTCATTTTATTGCTATAATTGTGAATGCAGAAGGTTGTGAATTTTCTGCTC